TCGCGCAGCCGCTGCAGCCAAGTCCGCAAGAGCATCGCTCATGCCCGACAAAACCATAGTCCGCCCACTTAATAAAAGTTCCATTCTAGACACTCCGTAGGCAAGTCGAACGCGGCGTGCTTCCAACCGCGCAAATCCTTGGTGCGTACTCCGCAAGAGCATCGCTCATGCCCGGCAAATACCATACTCCGCCCACTTAATAGATATTCCATTGTCAAAAACCAAGTGCAGAGCAGGGTTTCGATCGTTTGCTCCCGAACGGCCTCAGCCATGGCTTCGTTTTCGTGGGCTTGTGGAGCCAAAGGTTCGATTGAACCATCTGCCAGCACATGACTCTGTCACAGTCGCATTGCAAATACTGTGCCACATCCAGCACATCCTTCTCGATGCCCTCTCACGATTTCGACGTGGGTATGTGGGTATGTCATTTCAAGTCTCTCATGCCTTAACAAGCGGTGGCAACAACCGTCTAATCACCAACCCCCTCCATCGCACCACCGTCGAGAGCCTAGACGCTGTGCGCGTCCAGTCGCACAATCCTTGGCGCGTTTGCGCCTTCGCTCTAGCCTCCGCCAGAGCATCGCTCACGCGGCCAACTTCATGACAACAACCAGGCCGTAGCAGTCAAAAAGGACCGGTCAGCGAGCGCTGGACGCGCGGTGTGTCTGTGAGTTCGTTCTCGCCGGATGCGCGGTGCGTGCAGACAGCAGTGTCTGCGAGTTCGTTCTCGCCAGGTGCACATCGTCTACATCTTCCGTCGGTGGGGGACCGAACAACCCCTCCCTGTGCAAGACGGGGACCGGGACTTCGGGCGTCCCGGTAGCATCCTTCTCGCGAAGGAGGCTGACCGCCCGGGCGTATACCGAGTATACGCCGAAGTCGGGAGAGCCGTCTTGCACATTTCCTGCCATCTTTCTCTCTCTCTCTCTCTCTCTCCTCTCTCCCTCCCCTCTCTCTGTCTGTCTCTGTCTCTGTCTCTGTCTCTGTCTCGGTCTCTGTCGGTCTCTGTCGGTCTCTGTCTGTCTCTATCTCTGTCTCTGTCTGTCTCTGTCTTCTCTGTCTCTCTGTCTCTGTCTCGGTCTTCTCTGTATCTGTCTTCGCTGTCTCTGTCTCTCTCTCTCTCTCTCTCTCTTTGTCTCTTTCTCTCTCTCTCTCTCTCTCTCTCTCTCTCTCCCTCTCTCTCTCTCTCTTTTTGAGACTGTGTGGGGCCTATGTTGCCACATCTTGAGGCAATCTTGGCTCATCTTGGGGCTATGTTTCCCATATCTGAGAGCTAGGTAGGGTCATCTTGCGGCTATGTGCGACTGTGTGGGGCCTATGTTGCCCCATCTTGGGGCTATGTGGGCCATATCTGAGACCTATGTTGAGTCCTCTTGAGGGCCTCTGTCAGATCATCTTGGAGCACATGTTCCGCCTTTGCTCTTAGCACGTGCCCGACACCCACGAAATGTCGATTAAGCCTGTCCGCGCGGCACGCATAACTGACACCACGGGCACCCTGTCGTGGACGCCGAAGGCCACGAAACACTGTAAAAAACGATGTTTTTGAACATTTTTCGAACATCCAGCGCAAGATACATATAAATCTGTCGGGCGGATTTGGGCGGGGGTCGGGCGGGGGTATCCCCGCGGTCCAACAAAAGGGTCGGCGGCAGGGGCGGCGAGCGTATATAACCTTCGGTTACCACCGAAGGCCTCCGGCAAGGACACGGGCCCGTGGCCGGCGCCCGGATTTAAGGGCTGCCGCCCCTGCCGCCGACCCCGGATTCTCAGGTCCGGCTTTTCCTCCACTGGTTGGCATTGCGAGGGTTTTTCGAACAGGGGTTTCAGTCGTCCTTTTAAAGGTTGCTCTTCTGGAATCGTCGTTTCTTTCCGGTGTCGAGGTCCGTGCCCGTGCGGAGCGTTTCATTGCCTGCTCTGGATTGTTTGCTAGCATATTCCACCACTAACCAGCCTCCCAAAAAGCATCTGAAACCACCCCTTCGCCACGCCTTTAACCCATTGAGTTCAGCTCCAAACGAGCCCCAATTCCTCGGACGTTCGGTGTCAAACGGACGCTCTGGGTCCCTAGAAAAAGCATCTGAAACCACCCCTTCGCCACGGCTTTAACCCATTGAGTTCTGCTCCAAACGAGCCCCAATTCCTCGGACGTTCGGTGTCAAACGGACGCTCTGGATCCCTAGAAAAAAAACAATTTGCTAGCATCTTCCACCACTAACCAGCCTCCCAAAAAGCTTCCACCAACAGCCTGCCAAAAGCTTTCCAGCCTCCCAAAAGCATCTGAAACCACCCCTTCGCCACGGCTTTAACCCATTGAGTTCTGCTCCAAACGATTGAGTTCTGGCGGATCTATCATTATTCCCTGGCGCGCTCCCCCTTGCGTCGGCCGGGGTCGGCGGATATTGCTTGGCTTAGATGTTCGAAGACCAGTTCAAGTGCGGGTCTGAAAATCTAAGGTAAACAACATGTGTGTAAGGAACAAGTTCTACATGATGTTGAAGCTTGCGCTTGAAACATGTCACATGTTGTCACCTTTTTCCCTCGTGGTGATGCGTGATGCGAAATTCATCCATCCATCCATCCAGCCATCCATCCATCCTGTTGAGCTGGTCGCCGTGGCCGCTCCCCAAGGCTGCCCCATCCTAGCCCGGAGGGCCGCTGGCTCGTGCCACGTGACCGGCAGGGTCGGGCAGGGGAGCCCCAGTGGGTGACGTGACACGCCTCCATGTTGGCTTTTGTGTGCTTAATGCTCACAGGTGAGGGGGACAGTGTTAAGAATGGATCGTTGATGTCTGAAAGAAGAAGAAGAAGAAGAAGACAAAGACAAAGACAAACACAAAGACAAAGACAAAGACGAAGAAGAACAGGGAAAACACGAAGAGTGGCGAAAGAGCATAGGGCGCAAAAAGGACACACTACCCTTTGGATGTTGGAATTTCTCTCTTTACATTCACTTTGAGTATACCCACTACCCCACTACCGGGGTGTGCCCCAACGGCTCAGTCAAACGCCCCCCCCGAGGTGTCACTCGCGCTCGTGGATCCCACCACAGACGAGGCAGAGATCGTGTGCGAGCCCCTCGGCGGAAGGAAGGGCGACCTGGAAGTGAAATTAAAAAAACCTTCCAAGTGTTGTTCCCTCCACCCAGTAACTATGCAACATGGAAGTGGAACATAATGGAACATGGACCCATGCATACCCATGCAAGACTCTTTTCCTCTACCAAGAGGGGGTTGGGTTACACATCCGCGGCGACGTGGGTCCAAGAAACAGCTGTTCCACGTGGTTCCACCGTCGCCGCGGGCGGGGTCCTCGACCTCCAGAATTCAGCGAACGACCGGCGAAGCGCACGCGAACGACGATACTGTCGACGGCATAGACGGCTAGAGGGAGGAGGCGCTTCTAGCCGTCAAACACTGACAATTGGACGACTGAGGTCAAAGTCGTGTTTGTATCTACGTAATCCTTTTGGACACCAGATGCCGCAAGTGTGGATTTGGATGGTGTTGATGGATCGAGGTTTCTAGTTAAATTCACATCATATCGAGTAGTACATCATTTTCACTAACCACTTGTGCTCTTTGAGCAGTCCAGCTCAGCGGTCCAGCGC